ATTACTTTTTGTTTTTTTTTCATATATACTGATTTTTCGTTTTTCTTTTTTATCTAAACTGAAATTTGTAATTTATTCATTATAATTTTAACTCTTGTTATTTTTAACCATATTACTATTATCATTATTGTCTCCATTTTCGAAAACTTATTTCAGTCATTTTAAAATGTTACAGTGAAAAATGTCCGTGATTGATTTCATCATATCTTGCATAAGAAATGATTCGATGACATCTAAGTGACAGGAATGAGCGGCAATAAAGTGTTATTTTTTTCCTTGACATTTTGTTGAATTTATTACCATAAATACCAGCAATCCTACTATTGCTACAAAATCCTACCATCACTTTTGGAGTACTTCTGCTATCATCTTAGCAGCTCCTCCCATTTCATTTCATTTCAGAAGTAACAATGCATTATTGAGTTGCTTCTTCTCAGTTAACATTCATCTATCCATATGCTACTTTTGTGGTTTTATTTTGTTTTACATTTCCTAAAATTTGTTGCTAATAACAAAGTTTAAGAAATTAGTTCTCATGTTTTCTTAATAATGTATGTTCTATAAATATTTTGCGTAGCATTTACGGATGTTTCCCAAAATATACTTTCTGTTTCTTAAACTACACTTTTTATAGATATTTTTTATATTATATTTTCAATTTTTTATACTATACTTCAATAACTATTCTCTATAATACACTTTCAATAAATTTTTTCTACAACATACTCAGAACATAGTTTCTACAAATTTATTTTATGCATATTTTCTATATTACACTTTCTATCGGTATTTTCTGCAGTATATTTTTTATATTATTCTTTCTATGGGTAGTTTTAATGCTATACTTACTTTCTGTGGGTATTGTTTATAATATGTTTTCTACAGGTACTTTCTATACCATACATTTTGCAAGTATTTTCTATACATCTCAATTAAGCCAAGAGAACATTACTACATGTAGTGATTCGTTGAATTATTTTACAATTTTTAAAAATCAAAATGGTATTTTCTTTATAATAAAAAAAATTTTGAAAATCACCCATAATTTATATTTAAAATTTACAATCATTTCCTAGAGTTCCAGTTTCATGATTTATATTTCCAAAATTTTCAAGCATTCATTCCAATATTTAAATTTAAAACAATCCACTACTTTTGGAAGAAAATTTACGAAATGATTTTTTAGAAAATTTCATAAAAACACAATATGATTCTATCATTCAATCTGTGCAAAGATTAAAGAAGTACTTCATAATGTTAAAGTAAATAACAAAAATTGTGAACGATTCAATTTTTGTTCTGAGTCATAAAATAATACTGAACGCGTAGCGAAATCTGTCTTTTTCAAAGAAAAGGAATTATCTCATACTCATCAATGTATTTTACCTGATGAGTATGAGAAGGGAAGGAAAAGGATTCCGGAGAACTTTCGGAATTGCTCGGAAAAGCTTCTGTCGGCAATATCTTTGTTAAGTTTTTCATTGTCTTCAAGTTTATCTCATTGCAGAGATCAAATTATGAGAAATAAGGGAGGTAAAGTATTAAATGAAGAATGAATTTTTAGCTACCTCAAATCTCTTCCAAAACAAATCCACCGGAAAGTCATGATATTTTCCTTAGAAATATTTGTTGACTTTTTTCAGTTTCAATTTTGCTATAAGAACCTCCTTCTTACAAACGAATAATGAATGTCACAGAACGGAGATGATCGCTGTGACAATGTGTGGTGACACATTGGACTGAGTACCAAGCGGAATTTATCTCTCACCCCGTACTTTCTCATTTTACTCTCCAACTTTTCCCTTTTCCACCATGAGGTTACTGTAGAAAGTCATCTTTACACAACTTTTCGATAGCCAGTCAGCAAAAAAAATAGCCTAATAAAGGTGCATTTCCATTCATCAAAAATTTTCAAAATTGCAATTTGTTAATGTTTAATTCTTCATTTGATCTCCGAAATAATTTTATAATATAAATTCGTCTCGAAATAATTAACGTAGAATTGTGCTGCAGAAATCTGTACTGCAAAAGCTGCTCATTCAATGCAATAAATTCAAATACTGAGTTAACTTTTTTGTTCATTTAGCCTTTTTATTTCCTCATAGCAATAATAATGCGTATTGTTTGTCACATGGTTATAAATGTTAAGCTGAGAAGTACCGCCAAATGATTTACCATTTATTCTCTGTCAAGTCCCTTCATGTTTTCTTCAAATATCTTTCTCAAGTATTTAAAAATATCTGAATAATAATATTAAATTGCCGCTCCGATAAGAAATAAAGTTTGTTTAGGCAAACTTATTACTTAAATCTTAATTATGAACTATCAATTAAAATAGATAATATCACATTAGTAAACGGTAATCAAGTTAGTAATACTTGTAGCTTCAGATATTATATTCACGGCAAAAATGCCTGTTTTACAATCGCATACATACCACATTTTTTTCTCAGACAAAACTTTGAATTTAATAATTTATTTACAATATTGCTTGACAGAGTTTTTTCCCATTTAGCTTTGTTGTGGCTCTCTCATTCATAACATCTTCAACAGTATATACGATTATATACGATATATACGATTAATATATACGATTAACCCATGTATGTATATATGCACGATGTGACCCCATTGATTTTTTGAAAATCGTAAAGAAATGTTGACCTTTGAAGTTATTGTTGTTGCTAAGTGTTTATTATTCAGAACATTTACAGTCGCTATCATCTCTTTCACATTTTACGAAATTTTTCATCCATGAATAGGTTTAAAGTTTTTTCCTTGTTTACAGACTTATATCCAAAAAGCATTATGTCATTTTTGTATTCCTGTTTAAAACATTTTTTTTTCATTGCTCCAGAATTTTCTTCATTATAAAATTTTAAAAAATTTTTAGATGAATTATAACATTCCACCATCTGGGAGACTTCAATTTCATTCACGATATCGATGGATCGCTGGTCAATCCACACTCTCTCCACTTCAAATCGAGAGTATAACAAATAATCTGCGAAATTCAACAAATAATGCTGCCAAATCAAAGAATCTTAACAGTGATAAATCCGAAAAATGTCAGGATACGATCAATGGAAGTATAAAAAATGAAGGAATTTCAAGTCCTTCATCAGCAGTTAATCTCATAAACAACTTATCATCATCTGATAAGCTAGCTTCGTCGATTAGGAAGTCGATTAGTCCTGCAGGATTACCTCAATCAGAAAGGTGAGACGATAATATTGGTACTATGCAAAAATACATAACAGTATGTTTACTTTTTTAAATTAATTCCTTCATCTTTGCCATTTCTCAGATGCTATTTTTCGAATTTCATTTATTCCTTCTCGTCCTTCCTTCTCCTTTCAATCCAAAAGTGTTTATGAAATGAGGAGACGTGTTTTCACAGCGACCCTAGAGTTGGCCAAGTCTGATCGTTGCATGATACCGGTACTGTCCACCAGGGTTAGGTTGCATTTAATTAATGAGTTCGAGGTAGAGGTATTGATTTAGGGTTTCCTTTATGACACACAGAGATTCCATTTATTATTTATAAGGTCAGATTCAAATTCAGTGAGGAGTATACCGTGAAAAATAAAATTAATTAAGAAATCAGGTCAACTCAACAGATAAGCTTCCCATTTTACTGCTTCAAGTTTCGTACCAACATCGTCAGTGATGTGTTATTTTCTGGAGTATGTTAGTGTAAGTGTCAAACAAACTTTTTGAATGTAACAAATAGTTGCCTCATTCATTTTTTAAATCCCGTGAAGCAACATGAATTGCTTTTTGGAAGGTAAAAATAGTTGTAATTCTATTTTTAATTTAAGCAGCAGCAACTGCATATCATTGCAAATGCCCCAAGAAATACAGCAGAATACTACAACAAACAGAGGCAATAGTAATGGTAAGGATAGTAAACCTACGACAACTTATCTTGGTGTTTCGCAACCTATCTCAATTTCGGGACCGGATGAGTTTGATATTGTAATGTCGACAAAAGTAAGTATTGCTTTAAATTTATGATGATTGATTTGTGATGGTAAAAAAGCAAAAGTTTTAATGATTATCATAATATCGGTGCATTTTGCAAAATTGAACAATTATATGCAAAATTCTCGCCGTTGCTATAAATTTACTGCATGCTACTAATAAATGATTTTCATTGTATTTTTCAGCTGGATGAGTATTTACAAGCAAATGGTTATTTTGAAACAGAAGAGGAAATGAATTTACGCCTTAAAGTGCTCAGCAAAATCAATGCCTATGTAAAAAAATGGGTTCGCGTCGTATCTAAAAGAAGGGTTCATCTTTTTATATTTTTGAAATTATTCAAATATTTCGATGTGCGCGTCAGACATTCTTTCATCTTGACTTTATTTTTTCCATTATTTTTACTGTTATTTCATTCACAAATCTTTACTATTAATTCGTGATTGTTAGGCAAAATCTGTTAGCATTTTCATTCAATAATTAGCAAATGAATGATCTTTTTAGCTTTTTTACTGTTATAAGTACTTGAAAAAAAGAAAAAAGCGTGCTGTGTTTTTAGCAGATGCCTGATTCAGAAATTCAAAGCGTCGGTGGAAAATTATTTACCTTTGGATCATATCGACTTAATGTTCACACTAGAGGTTTTTTTTTTTTGGATTTACAAAATTTTTCATTTGCCTACATTTTATCATTTTCATGCCTATTTCTTTATTACATTAAGTTTGGCAATAAAAATAACAAACTTATCTGTCTAAACTATTAGTTTTTAAAAAAATCCAACTTTTAATCTAATTTAGGAGCTGATATTGATTCACTTTGTGTAGCACCGAGACATGTGGATCGTAACGACTTCTTCACAAGTTTCTATGAAATGCTCGCTGAGGTAATTTGCTTTCTTGAAAATATTTGATCTAATGAATAAATCACAAAGTCAGATGAATCGATTTTGGCAACTGACGACTTCTCAATATGATAATTTATATGAATTTGATACTGAGAAATTTAAATTATTGATGTGTTCGTTTGTTGAATGATGAGTTGATTCACAAAAAAATCGACGCTGAAAAATTCTGTAATCAGATTTCAGAAAATTACGACCATCTTCATAGCAGAGTTGTAGTTTTGGAAGAGTGTAGATTTATCACTGGCTTTCAGGATCCAAATACGACAGAATTACGCCAAGTGCAGGAAGCTTTCGTGCCTGTAATTAAGCTAAAATATTATGGTATTGAAATGGATATATTATTTGCTCGCCTTGCTCTGCCGAGAGTACCAGAAGATCAGCAGTTGAACGATGATTCATTATTGAGAAATTTAGATGAGAAAAGTGTTCGTTCATTAAATGGTAAGTTCGTCAACTGTGGAAATGCGTTATGAAAAATTCTGTGAACTTAATAAATTCCAGTTGTTCGAGTACATTGTCATCTTTAGCAAACGTCTTTTCCAGGTTGTCGCGTAGCTGATGAAATATTACGATTGGTTCCCAATGTATCGAATTTTACATACGCACTGAGAGCGATTAAGCTTTGGGCGAAAAGTATGTTAATGTATTTATTATTTAATAATAAAAGTATTTATTATTTTCTTTTCATATTATAATATTGGAGATAATCATGGGATAATCATTGCAGTCATGTTTTATATCTACTATTTTTCATTGGAATCGTACTTTACGTCACTTTCCATCTTATCTTTTATAATACACAAGTCGGTATTAGTCATTAAAGTCATTAGATGTTCACACCTTCATTAATGAAATTTAAAAATATCTATTATATAAGTAAAAACTGTAAGTATCAAAAAAAATTAACTTTGAATTAAACCTTTCATTGTTCATCGTTAATAACTATTCTCATATTTTATTAGAATGAATATTTTGCAGATCATGGCATATATTCTAATGTACTTGGCTATCTGGGTGGTGTATCATGGGCAATACTTGTTGCTCGAACATGTCAGTTATATCCCAATACCGGACCAGCAAGGCTTGTACAGAAATTTTTCTTGCTGTACACAAAATGGTAAATATTTAGTCACTATTTCAAATAATTTTGAAATAAAATTTTCCTTAACCGAAAGCGGTAAAAAGCAAAAGATGCATTTTTTACACTTTTTCGTATTTAATAGATCTAAAAAAAATTTGTAAATTTGCTTGAAATAAAATCGCAGAGTATATTTTAGTCTTTTTGATTATTGAAAAGCTTGTTCCAGGGAATGGCCACATCCAGTGGTCCTTAAGGAAACAGAAATCTCACACGCACGTGATATGCCATCTTTACAAGAACTTGTTTGGGATCCGCGATCGAGAAGTGGTGATCGGTAACTTTTTGTTTTATACCTCAATATTTTATACCAAGGAATGATAAGTTCTTGTTTTTCCTAGCAGTTAATATTTACTTTTTGTTCATTGTCTAGTGAAAGTCCCAGTCGCAGGTTTCATCTCATGCCAATTGTGACACCAGCTTTCCCGCAGCAAAATTCAACATTCAATGTAACGAAGTCGTCGCTAAAAATCATCATGAATGAAATCGAGGAAGGTTTGTCTTGGCGTTGTGCATTTTTATTCTTAGCGTTTCCTTCTCTTGTTAAATTTATGTTTCTGTCAAATCATTTTTGTACATTACTTTTAGTTAATGCTGCTATTCTGATTCATACTGCAGCATGCTTGAACATGTAGAAGTTTTCTATTAACTAACTTTTAAAATGAATGTTTTTTAAGGTCTTGTTACTATTAACGACATAATGAAAGGACAAGCTGAATGGTCAGCATTATTTGAAGAAGTTAATTTTTTCAGTCGTTACAAGCATTTCCTAGCACTTCTTTGTTTGTCGGCAACAGAGGTGAGTTGTGATTCTCATTAGTTTAAGTCATATGATTGATCTTAAAAAGTTTTAATAAATTATAAACTTAATAAACTATAAGGAAGCAAATGAGTCGTTATTTGCAATAATATAACCTTAATATATTTTCTGAACAGAAAGATGCTAATAACTTTTAAATTTTTAGCAAGATGAATTAGTGTGGTGTGGACTAGTTGAATCTAAAATCCGATTTTTGATCGCAAGTCTGGAACGACGTGAAAGTATCAGGGTGTGCCACGTACATACGAAATATTATCAACCACGAACTGATCCTTTTCCAGTTCATGTTTCTCTCCAGTAGGTGCTACTTCGTTAAAAATCTGTAACTGGTGATGAAATAGAAAGAAATTTAAAATTTTCTATAATGTAATGAATTTATTTTAGGAATCCACGATGTCGACTTTGGTTTATTGGCTTAGATTTAAATAAAGCTGTGAGCAGAAAAATCGACATTCAACACGAAGTTCAAAATTTTATGGACCTTTTGAATAGTATGGCTACTACTCAAAATATATATGTTGAAGGAATGAGTGTACGTATTTCTGTACTACCTGTAATTTGATTTTAATTTTAAGAGAGTTGGTAAATTATAATTTGCCCACTGATAGATTTAAAGTAAGAACAATAATTTAAATGTTGAATTTTAATTTTCATCATCTTGTTAGAAATTGGAAATTAAAATTTTCCATTTCTAGGTAATACCACATTATCTTCGTAAAGCAGAACTTGTAAAATGGTTGAAAATGGAAGATCTAACTAGAGGAAGGAAGGCACCAAAAAGGAGACGAATTGCAACCGGTCAAAATCAGCAGCCTACAGGTGCATCACAATGTAAGACAAAAAGTGAAACATCAAGCATCGCTTCTTGTAACTCTTCGGTAAGTTCATTTTTCAAAATAAACATAATATATAACAACTGTGAATCAGATTTAAAATAGAAACGGCTAAATTTCAGGGGGCTGAATCGCCTTCTACATCAGTATGTGGAACGGAAATTAGTAAAAACATGCAGATTGATTTAACAGTGCCATCGACAACTTTAACAGCAATAGGTGTGCTTTCTTTTGACTTTTATTACGGGTTGATTTTGTGCAAAATTTTTTTCCGTTATAGCTATGTTGATTTTTTTCATTTGAATTTCATTTTGTTTAAATTTCAAAGTTTTTTCCAAAAAGTGGGAATAAATTTACAGACTCAGGTTGTGCAGATGCAGTTCCTAAAGCAATAGCTGGTTGTAGTGATAGTCCTGTTAATTCAAGTATTATGGTGGAAAGGAAGCCATCGGTAAGTAATCGATTTATTGATCATGAAATTATTTCATGTCATTTTCATTTTTTTTTTGAGCGTTTATGTCAATTTGTGTAAATTTTTTTCCCTTTTACTGGATAAATTTTCAGTAATTTTTTAAAATGTTTTGCTTGCAGAATGATGCCAACAAATTGGTCCTTAACAGCCATTCGTCCATAGAAGGTAATCTCGAATTTTATTTCATTAACATAAGATTTATTACTTCTTGCTTTCATCTGTGAATATTTCAAATTTTAATGGAATCTATATATTTAGCAACTGAAAACCAATCTCCTGCGGTGCAGCTTCTCGTAGATGATCGCCAGGATTCGGTGAATACTGACGAAACAAATCGGGTAAGAAATGGTGAAATGAATTTGTTAGATTTATGTTCACAAATTTTTCTGGAAGCAGCGCTTTTAAGTTTGGTTTTCCAAATTGAATTCATTTTTCTTAAATTTAAGCAAAAGAACAGGGGAAGAAAAAGATCAGCGGAGAGGAGTACGGAGGATGATGATACAGCACCATCTCAACCTAAAAGGTGTTCACTCGTTGAAGCAAACCCTGTGTCTCCCAACAGAATGGAAACGGAACAAAGTAGTAGAAGTTTGCTTGGTTCGGTAAGTAATGATGCTCGACATCAGTATTGTCGAATTTTCTATGCAGTTATGTTAATACTCAAAAAACAGCATCCGAATAGCTCAAAATTTTGTTTTTGAGAAATAAAAATGGACAATCTCGAAAAAAAAAAACTTCTAACCGTATCGAAAATAAGGTGAAAGTTATTTGATGAAATAAAATTTCACTTCGGCATACTTTTTGATTATTACAGGGTTTCAATGGTGCTGCTGCTTGAGCAATGTAAATCGTGGTGAAATTTGTTCTTACTTGTTGTGGTGAAATTTGTCCTTACATGTTCAGGAGAAAATATTACTGGCCACCATGGATTGTGCTGCATCTCTTTATTCTCTCGTTACTAAGTTTGGATGTCAGAATTCATGTTGTCTTATTCACAAATAAGCTTATATATTATCAATCGTGGCATGGTCAGAAGTTATGTATGTATACATTTGTATCTAATAGTTTTCAATTTAAATCCTGAAAATCCCGAAAATCTCGGAAAAAATACCAAAATATGAAAATTTTCAAAAATTGAAATTGCGGAATCATTCAATGCGCGCGTCTGATATTCATACCATCCGAAGCAGCAGATTTATACCGTTTGTATTAACTAGTTTTGAAATGAATAAGCTTTATTGTTCATTAAAAATAGAAAGAAGTTTATATAGTAAATGATAGAATTTTCAAAGAAAGAAAGAATTATCAGTTGCGTGCATTGGATGATAGAAGCTTTTTTTTTGAAATAATGATCTCGATATATTGTATATGTACTCTATCGTTTGTATAAATGCAATAATTTAAAATTACTGCTCTTTCAATAGTCACTTTTTTTGCAAAATGCGCCACTGTTTGAATAATTTCGTATTATAGAAATGTCGATGTGAATGTTTAAGATTTTTTGCGTCTTATTTTTGCTCATTTCAATTGTCCGCAATGATAGGTACGATTTTACAATGCATTTTTTGCGGATTGTCGATTAATTTGAATGTCGTCAAATTAATTTATGTTTTGAATTTGAAAAGTTGTGCCAAACTGCTTGGTTATAATTCTAAAGATTTAACACATCATCTAATGTTTTTAGGAAATTGCATTAAATTAATTTTTGATATTAACTTAATAATATTTTTTTACCATAGTCGGCAATTATGCTGAGAATTTTGCTTGGCTTAATGGGTTCATTGCAGCGACCAACTTTTGAGAATGGAAATTTTAATCAATTTTGGATATTGCTGGGACTTTTTTTTAATAAAGTTAATTGTTTTTTCATGTATTTCCACCTCATTGTTTGATATTTCCATCAATTTCTGTTTTTTTTGCGTGTTTGTCACTTCACTTTATTGTCAACTGTCACTAACGTAGAATTTGATTAAACAACCAATTTTATATCCATTCCCAAAAACTTAGTCTAAGAGAACAAAGTTGTTGCAGAAAATTTTATATCTCTAGAGAGCTTTTCACTCTCCGAGAAATTACGATAGTGTATTGGCAGCAGAAATTGCAGTGTTTACTTATTATTATTCGTTGAATATGAGAATTTTTGTCTCTGCTGTACTTTATTACACTTTGAAATATATGATTTTTAAGTGGTTTGGTTCTTTTGTAACAGGAAACATGATTAGGGTATTTTTATACCTGCATAACTTCCTCTATAAACATGGTGCTATGAAAAAGAAGTTGCTGTTAAAGATAAGCAGTGATTTGCTAAGTTAGTTAGAAAGATAAGTAGTAAGAGTTACGAACATAATTTTGTTTGAGAGAGAGTGAGAGAGAGAGAGAGAGAGAGATGATTGATGGAAGCATAGTTACTTTTTTTTTCAAATGAAATTTCCATATTATATAAAAGACAAACTCCGAAGCACTTGTGTAAACGGAGTCCCAAGATAGAAGTGAGTATAGAATGATCAGTTGATAATCCATCATTTCTTTCAAACTGATCATTTCACTTCTGCTGTATCAGGATAGTTTGAAGTACCTCTTGCTAGTCCTTCGAGGACGATTGAGGTGATGGGTCATTTGCTCAAAAAGTTTATCATCACTGATAGAGAGGATAATGTTTCAAGGCGGGCAGACTGCATGCCTTATATAGATGGGCGTCTATTTACTTTAAGTTCACTTGGAATAGTTAAAGAGGAACTTTACTTCCACTAATCATCTCTTTCTTTCTTGAGCAAAATTATTCTCATGAATCTTGTAAATGTGAGAAGTAAAGTTAGGGGAATATAGTTTGAAGGTCGAGGAAGAAGTTTTTTTTTGTAAAATTAAAGATGAGAGATTGATATATGTGTAGTGTGGAATACTGAAGGTGAACAAGGCTAAAGTATTACATGAATAAGATCAGATTAAAGCTTTTATGTATTATTTGTGAGAAGAATTCTAATGTTATATATTTGTTTCTGAGGAAATAATATGATCTCTTTATTTGCAGAGCAAAGTCATGAAAATTATTGCATAAGGATCACTGGCTATTGAGGATGGGTGGAGGGGGAGAGAAAGAGGTAACGAGGAAAAATTAGGAAGAAAATGTTTTGCAGGGTAGCTTGGTTTCAATTAGGATATTAAATGAATTTGAAATAGTAGATAGGAAAGAAGTAAGAAGTAAAGTGTCCTTGTGTTTGAAATGACCTCATTCTTCGTTTATAAACAATGTAATATTACTCCATAGAAATTTTTAGATCTGTAGTTTTGTTGTTCTTTTATTGTGGAAGCGATGCAACGAAGTGATTTCGCCATTCCTCGAAAATTACTAAATGAGACAAGTATATTCAATTTAATTTTTATTAACTTATAATCTTTCATTTGGGAAGAGTTAATTTGATCAATCTTTCTCGTGAGCTAATCAATGCATTCATGAATATCTGCTTATGCAAAGAATATGTTACAATCTGAAAAAAAAAGCAAAGTTTTACGAAACAATGTACCTAAAAAAATTTTGCTGAAATGAAGTTAAGATTTATTTCAAAATAGCAAAGTTCAGCTGAATGGAAATCTAATTAATGAATAATTAACTGAGCAGCAAATGTTTTTTTTTTTACCTAAAACTATAAATGATCTAATAACCTTAAAAGGTTTTATTGCTTATAATGAATTTATGCATTTAAAGGTTCTCAGCATTATATAATCGATATAGCCCTTAACAGCGAATCTTTTCGAAATATATACCAACCAGTTATTTTATCACATCTCTCAAACAGTTGTCAGGACCGGGAGTCGATCAGAATTGTCCGATGTAGAATTATAAATAATAAACAGCTGGAAACACGGGTAACAGTTATTTTCCTTGACCGATCAGAAAAACGAATTTTCGAACAGATTTATATTTTGTTCTTATTTTAGTTTTAGTATCAATATCCTGGAATTATAGTAAATATATTTCAAGCTCAGCAAAATTAGTTCTTAAGTATCATTTACGCTGCTTTAAAGAATTGTGATCTGAATGTACTTTTTGACTATTTGAATTCTCCGATATTATGCAAAAAAAATTAGTAGAAAAAAGAAACAAAAGTCATATTACGTGAAAATCATGTTGAAAGTCATATTAAGAAGTTTATGTGGAATTCAGTTTGTTACTCTTCAGTTTTCCAATTTTCGACGATCTCTAGAATCTCAGTGTTCGCCAGTTGATGTATCGTTTGGGTACACCCTCCTCTCAGATAATTCGCGAGAAGTAAGATATAAAATGTTTACTCAATTATTTCCATACCTGCTATTGGAATTAATTGTTGGAATTTTCGTTTCTTACTTTTTGCTTTTTAGAAATTTATTTAATTACATGGAATAGGCATCTTGCATTGTTACTATAGAAGTTCACCTTTTATTTTCTTTTTTTGAAATTAAAACGTTCCTTAGAAAATATTCAGTCTTAATAAACCGATTTTTAAGTAAATAATGGTTTATTATCGCATCATTCGCTTTTTCGGTAATAGGACATTGCGCCGGCTAATTTATTACAAAGTTCTTGTAAAAATCGAAATCTCACAAATCTCACTTCAATAATCGTTTAAATCGTTTAAGAGTGCATGAACCGTTCAAACTTTTCAGATGGAACTAATAGCGCAGTGGGGCTTATCTGTCAATAATAACTTCGTGGGAGATTTGGGTGAGCCGTCGAATGGTTAGTTTATCGTTAATAAGATAATCTGTACGAGTAAATTTTTGTTTGTTAATAATGACAGCTTTCTTATAATTTCTTCTGTCGAATTTTATTCTCTTCATCTATAAAAGCAAATCGATGGGGAGTAGATACGTAGCTATTATTAAAAAATTTTATATTTTTATCTCTTAAAACACCACTATGTGAGTGTTGTAGTACCACCACTTTCATTCTCACTTTTTTACTTCATATTTTAGATTATTTTTCTTATATTTTCTTAGGTGTTTACTTGTCTGGACATCCCGACTTAGTTACACCAGCACCTTTTCTTGGACGAACTAAATTGAGAATCTTAGCTTGCAAGGTAATTGCTACTATTTTGATTAATTCGTAACCTTTTTTAATTCTCTTCACTACACGAATAGTGTTCAAATCTGCCAAGACATATGTCTTACCGTTTAGTATTTAACAAGAATATTATTCATATACAGTTACACAACCTGCCAATCATAAATAGTCACGCAGTGATAATTTTTTTAGATCTTGAAAGGCAGATGCAATATTGTTGGCTTGGGGTCCTACCATTTGTTACCTAAACGAGGATATCATTCACATTCAGCTGTGCAACCAGTGGATTGTAAATTATTGCGACATGATAATTATCGATGTGACCAAGTCCTGTTAAATTTTCAATGCTTTGTTGTTTATATTTTCAAGAGGAAAATTTCTGACTTTCTTCTACAAGATTGATTCTCTTTATTTTGAAAATTTTTAGAATTTATATATATCATCATTCCTAGCGACATACTTTTTTTTCAGATTTTTTTATTCGAAGAGAAGGGAGCTGGATATTCCAAATCGCCAGCAAATGTTTTACCTTTTGCCATATACGATGTGGAATTCCCCCCGAATACGTAATTCTGTTCATTCAGTTTTTCTTTCTTTTTTTAATACTTAATATTAAGATAAGACTATATCGTGGAACCAGCATAATAAGGCTCAAAACAATATATTTTATAAATGTCAAATTTCAAGCAATTTTTGCACATTTTCTCAGTTGTTTACATATTTTTAAAAATGGATTGAACTGAAATATAACTATTGATTTGTAGATGTTCGTAAAAAACGATTTTCACGAGTTTCAGCGTTTTAACTTTCAAAGGAATAGATTCAATTGTTTGGAGTGGTAATCTGTTAGTTGGAAATAAGCGTTACAGTCGTGTATCATTGCATTCATTAGCAGCAGCGGCTAAACCACCATTACTGTGAGTGTACATTTGTGTCAGTTGACTACAGGAAATTAGCTTCGTATATTACACTGTTAAATGCTTTCAAAGGAGCATTATTGGCTGGAATTTGATTGTTTTTCTATATTTTTTGGATAAAATCTTCATATGAACTCATTTTTATTTTAGAGACATTTTCGAAATTGCCGATCTCATCCATTGGACTGCCTGCTTGGCTTTTCCACCAATTCTTGAACTGCTGAAACCGCCAGCTCTTGGAGAAATCGCTTTGAAAAAAGAGGCTAGAAAATTCAGTTCAAGTTTTGCAAAAGAAGGTGGTAATTGTGAAATTCAATAAATCTTTTTAGGTACTGTTGATCGATTCTCAACGTTTAGTTTATTATTTTACATTATTTTCGGAAGATGATTCTCGGGATTTTGTTTCACTGCATGAATCTATGAGAATAAAACAGGCGGTTAGTGTTTCATTTTTTTTATTTTTATATCTGAGCAAGATTAAAAGCGAGTTCGTGTATGACTTGTCGAAATGATCTATTGTAAATAGATCATTATGATAAATCATGTCACATTATAGTAAATGTGATGTTGGAAGTTGAAATTTCTAAGTCTCTATATCATTATTAATTACTATTGGTCGCTTAGAATTAACGTTTGAATAATTTTGGCATCTTATGTCATGAAATTTGATCTGAAATCGCTTCTTTATGACATCGATTTAGTCTTCCATTTACCAATATAGCTTTTTTTCAGGCAGGCATAACGATTTTCCCGTCTGTTGGGATTTTCATTCTTTTGCCAAACGGATTATTTAGTGATTTGTTAACGCTTCCGAAAACAGCTGGCAGTATTTTCCACTGTTTGTATTTGACCTGTGATTTGAACTGTTCATTAATAAACGGTGCATTCGAAGCAATGTCAACAGAAGAGAAGTCAGTGATTTCTTGTCCATATTTTGAGTTTTAACTGTCAAAGATTTAATTCGAAGTCTTCATTTTTGATTTGAAAACTTTTATCCTTTGTTTTTTAGAAAAATAATTTCAGTTTTGCATATATATGAAGTTAATCTAATGGGTCATAATTTTTTGCAGCGACGAATTTATGAGGCCATTGTTACTTCAAGAACGCGTCGATGGACTGGATGTTCGTGTTCAAGAACTGGTGCGAACTGTTGCTAAGAAAACACTTTTCGAAGAAAATTCTAATAAATCAAGAATGAAGGGAGAAATATCAAATGCAAGTTCTGGTAATTTTTATACTATCTAGAAATATTAATAGCTGTGCAAGGGTACAATTCCTCTTATTTACAAGAATTGATGTGCTAGGACTAGGAAAAAAATATGCATATTGTTTATATATTGGAGAATCGATTGATATGGATATAGCGGACAGTGATGATGATGAAGAGAGAAGAGGATGGCGTGTTGAACGGATGGATACATCTGGATTGGAAAAATCCCTAAGAGAATATGTATGTTTGTATTAAATATCATCATTCATAATTTTTCTGCATATAATTCACTTTAACTTAATTGAATTTCCGCTTCACTGTGTTGGTCATCAGCAAGAATTTAATGCGGTTATCTTTTACTGAAGACAGTGTTTTTTGAATGGGGAGAGACATCGTTAATGATCTTGTAATCATTTGAAATTGTTTAGATAAGTAGAATAAACTGCTGGATTATACATAAAGAAGGCTTAATAAGTTTTACTAGTTCCGTCCAATTTTTAGTCTAATTTTTCAGTCACTATCAACTTCAAGTTTAAAATTGAAGTCAAGTTCACCGCATTCAGTTGATGAAACAATTTCAAAAGATAAACATTTGCTTTCTTCTAATCTTCGACATGAAAAGATGTTTGTCAGTAGAGATCCCAGGAAACGCCTCATTAACAAGCAGAATATGCCAATTCCTTCATGTTCAGTTGCAGGACGAAAGATTTCAAAGTGGAGCACTTTACGTGAACACTCAGATGCTAAGGAAAAGGCAACTTTTTTTTCAGCTGTTGTAGGCATTTCTCTAAAGTGTTGAGTTATTTCAAACTTTGAAAAATCATAGAATGTATGTAACATTTGAATCAGATTAGGTATGCATATGATCTTTTGCTGAATGAAATTTCAAGACCTTATTAAATCATTCGAGGAATGAAGTTTTAGCAGCCAATACGGTCATCATTCGATTTACCTGCAACTAATTCTCGTGGCTATTCACCATCAGATGCAATATCTAGTGGAGGATCGTCACCTACGGTTGTTTCACAGTCCCAGAGATCTCTGCCTAGTAGCTCTCCGAATCTCAAAGTATGTTCATCTTTCTTAAATTGAAACATCGAAACAGAACCATTATCTTAATTATTCCTCAACGAATGTAATTACATAATTTCTTAAATAAATTATTCGATAGTCTAGACCTGAAACACATTGAAACAACTGAACTATAATTTTTTAGTAATTTTTCAAAAAACGAAATTACATACTGTTTTAATTTTTACGGAGAAAGTAATTAACGCAATAACTGGATTGCATTTTTGATGAAACATAATTTAAAACTTCAGGATAACGACAGCACAACTTTTGTTGAGGTTCTGAGAAATCAGAGGTATGTTGTTATTCTGGAATCATTCACAACTGCAGTGTGTTTCAGTTGGTTCAGTTTAAAGCAGTGTGGGTATCGTTTTGCATTAAATGCTGTAGAAAAATTTTTAAATGCTCCGTCTATATGTCAACGAAATGTCGAAATATTGCAAACTTTTCCACTTAATTCCGAATTTTCCAAATTTCTTCAGTGATTTTTAGTGAACTCGGTAGTACGGAATCACCTGCTAGTCCTCCACATGAATCTGGTGTCTTCGTTGCTACTGCACCAAAGATTATTTCCGATTATGATATGAGATCGGCTACTGATGCTTCATTTCAAACGCCTGCTCGACAGTATCGGGTATTTTCAGTTTTCAGTACTTTAGAGATTCTTATTTGTCCATTAAAAAAGTATCCAAAAGAAAAAAAAAATTGTGTAACATGAAAATTGGCGTGGTGATTTATTCTTATATTGTTTGTGAGAGGGAATACTTTCTTCATATATGGTAGAATGCTTATCCACAAAAAATAATTTAACTTTGCTTAATAATATCAAGCTCTGCATTTATCAACCTAAAAATATTTTCTTTCACTTATTCATAATATAGGTATGACTAGTATTTTCCAGCCTCCGGAAGTTACACCATTCACAGCTATAGCATCAATGGATGGAATGACGAATTCTGGATCATTGGTAGGGAGTGTCGTTTTCCATTTCGTGTGTAATTTCAATCAGATCATGAAAGTTTATAACTCTTTTCGTTGCTGTCATCAAAATCTGCTTCAGATTGATAAAAAACACGAAAATAAAATTCATTGTGAAGAAATCCACTCAACATCAACTTCTCAGAATAATGAAAATCTCGTTATTAACGACGAATGCACGTAAGAAAGTTTTAGTTTATGAGTTGTTTAATTCTTTGTAAACCTGTTTACCATTTAAAATTTCCACTTTCCGAAGTTTTTGTCTTTGCTTGTTATTGCTGCGATATGTTCTTTGCTTGTTATTGCTGCGATATGGTTATAGTTCTAAGTATGACTGATAGATTGGAGATTTAATTTTTTCGTAATTCTTCCCTTTCATATTTTTATCTTATCAAAAAATTTTTGTCACGTTGGCCAAAAAATAATAAAAAGCTTTTTCTGATTAAAATCGACTCTAATAATACTTTTTATTTTTCTTTTTATACACTAATTTTGAATTTCCACAGTTCTTATATTCAGATTAGAAGAAATTAGGCTTGTTAAGATTTTAATAATTGTGGTTTTCTATAAAACAAACTGTATGACATTTTTAGTTACATCCTGCCTAATCTAGTTTCATTTCCACGTCATTCAATTCGAAAAAATACGGTTGAGAGTGAAAAGGTCAGTTTTCTTAAGTAAAAAATATTTTTTGTGAAGGCTCTTGTTTTGTGTGGGGGAAAAATCATATGTGAGAAATCGTTTTTACCTACATTGGAATGTTGTATTCTAGGATGTATGAAGGTTTTTTTTTTTTACTTTTTAGACGGATTCAAACCGTTCAAGGTTCTTTTTACTTTTTAGACGGATTCGGATTCAAACCGTTCTCCGCAGCACTTGCAATGGGATATTCTTCCGAATTCAAAAGTTGATGATCGAAATTTATCTTTTAATCCTGAACCAGTAGGTAGTGGTGATGTGGATATGCGTACCACTCATGCAATCAGTTCTGCTCCGGTCATTTCACGTGAGGTATGAATTTTCATTTTTTAAAAGTAAATTTAGGATGTTTAACATCGGCAGGAAACAATTATATCGATACACCTAACTATATTTTGTCACTTGTGCAACTAATGCCTTTGTAAGTCTTTGGTCTCTTGGCATAAAATAAAAATAACACGATTATCACTTTATGATGCAATGATTATTTATCCTTTTTTCTAGGAATAGATAGAGAAAAAGTAAATAATAAGGTATAGTGGTTGAGTATGAATTTAAGACCCTTACTTGTGTAATAATAATTCATTGTTCTTTGATTAATTACCATTAAACTAATGTTGTATGCTTCATTGTTACTCCAGTATTTTAAAGTTACAGGCTATTTTTGTTTAGCTTGACAGTTTTGGATCTCTTAGCATAAACTTACAAAGTATAAGTTTTTATAGCTAACACCATCAGCTACGCATCATATCACACCTGTTATGCAAGCACCGATCGTGTTCTCTAATGGCGATACTGATCATCGCCTTATTTCATCAGGAGTTCGACCTTCGACTTCTGCACAACCTCCTGAAAGCTTTACAAATGAGTCTGCTGGCCATTTTCGCACGCATCCATTTCCTTCACGTGCTCCTCCTCCTTTCACGGGACCTTTTCAATATCGCAATGTTTCTTCGACGTAGGTTTTTTAATTTTTCGAAAAAATATTTGAAATAGTTAAATTTATAGAGAATTTTCATTTCATCTTTCATTTCAGCAACTATGTAGTAGGATTTAAACAACCACGCGTGTACGGATTTTTCAATCAACCAACCATTCTCCGCCAACCAAAACCATATTATGCTCGAGATGTAACTGCTATATCTTTTAAGAATATTTCATTAATTTTTTGTGATAACTTAGGATCATGTGGATTGTTTCCATTGTTTATGCAAAGCGATGACGACAAATTTTTTGCTACTGTTTATCAAAAGCATTTTTTAGACTGTGGGTAGCAATTCTACAATAAGACGAGGAGTGTTAATGATCGATGACGCTCAACTTACTACTGGGGCTTTGTATGAATTTTATTTTTGTAGCGGAAGCTTTTTTGCTTTTGTTTCTCAGAAATATTTCTTTGGACTTTTAGTTGTTTTGATTATGTTCAATTCTTTTTTGGTACTATTGTATGATAATGCATAATGCAGGGATCCGAAGCTTTTCCGCATGATTCTGGAACGTTTTTCAAATTTGAGGAAGAGCGGTTCTACTTTGTGGTGGATCAAATTGCACACACATCTCAGGCAGACCTTAATGTTGGGCAGGTAAGTCCTTGTCTTCATTACCTCCAACAGGGTGATATTATGAAGATATTTTTTCCATTGTGATTCGTAATTTTATTTTATTTTTTTCAACGATTTGTAGGTGCAAATTCTAAAATCATAATGAGTATATCCAGTAACTAAGAATAATCTTTTCGACCTCTTTTCATATGTAGCTTATAATTCTGTGTGATAATCTTTTTTAACTGAAAATATGACAGTTACTTAAACTCGAATATGACGAATCCAATTTCCGCATTTGCCAACGCTTTTTCCCGATAATTGGGAACTTTTGAAATCTGTCTCGCGCAAATAAAAAAAGTTCTGGAATATAATAAAATAAGAAAAAAAGAAAAACGAAGTACCTAAGATAATAAGCACTAGATACTATGAATCTTTATTTAAGTGCCTCATCGGATTCTAACTCAAAAGTAGTGGAAAGACATGCTCATTATGAAGAACTAATAAAGGAATATGAAAGTCTAAAAGTGGTACAAATAATGAAACCACATGAATGTGACAAAAATAAGCATGACACAAATGTATTACTGAAATGTCTGAGTCATACTGTGAATGCGAATCGAAAATGCTCTATGGTTTATTTAACTGGTAAGTTATATTTGGAAACGGAATTTATATCTTATTTAAACACATAATTACGAATACAAAATATATTTTTAGTTTATTTATGGCTTTTTGTGTTTCATAGCATTTCTCAGATCTTTTTGTTTTCTCGAAACATTAAAATTTATTCAAAATATTTTGTAAATATTACATTTTTTAAATTCAGATATCGAAAAAGATTCATCAGTGGGCAAACAGATAGCATTTGCGGGTTTCGAAATTTGTCATTGCACGGAGCTATCAAAAAAATTCGACATTTAATGTTTCTTGTGCTTTCATTAGTGTAGATGTCTTGAGTTTTAGGTTATTGATGTCTTTCTTGAATAAGCTTCGTGGATATAATTCATAAATTGAAATTTTACGATAGAGGATTCAGAATTTAAAAAACTCTCTATTTTCTCCCTTTCTAACATGCAATTTCTTGTCTTTATGTTTTCTCCATCTTGATCAGTTATGGATATTTATGTTCCATATTTCAGTTCATCATATATGTTCTGTTTTAACAAATAAAAAAGGATTGGATTTGAAAAATTCCGCGAAATTTTTTGCTTTTAACGTGTTGGTTAGTGTAATAATTTTGTAATAATTTTTGTGTAATGATTTGATGCCCTTTTATACAAAATTGGCAGGTGATTTTGCTTTATTTTTCGGCTACTTTGTTTTTAAAATTGAAAAAAGAAAAAGTTCCAGCCGCCGATAATTTTTATTTTATGCATTATGGCTGAGATGATCCTAGAAGTCCAGGCTAAACATTTCTGATTTTACTTTTTTAAAAAATGAAGTGTATTAAATTGTGAACGTTGTGACAATGAAATGTATTAAATTGTGAACCTTGTGTTTTCTGAATGTGGGATAAAACTATTCATAGTTTTTCAGTGTTGTGCATGCATGTTTTTTAGTGAAATAAAGTAGGCTAAAACGATTTAGTTTTATATGGGGTATGAAATTAAAAAAAAAAAGATCGGTATTTTCTCAATCAATATCTGTTCAATAACTTTTTCCTAATCGTACTTTTAATCATTCATAAAAACAAAATCTAAAGAAGTACTCATATTTTAATTTTTCATCTGCTTGATAGGTGTGTTTATTGGATGAATAAAATCAAATTGTAACTTAACTAAGCTATCATGACTACTTTGTTTAGTTTGCATAATACATGTAGTGCAAGCATTTTAAACATAAAATTGGATAACCAGCTTTTCAGAATTATTTTCATGATCTTTAATTAAGCTTTTGAATGAACTGATAGTTTAAC